CTTTTCCAAGACTACTGATCTGTGGGATTTTCTTTGACCAGTTTTAGTACATTTTAAAACTTTAATTTCATAGATTTTGAGACCAAATTACTGCAAGAGATCCCAGTTATGCCAAGATTTACTATGAAAAAGGAGCCAGATTTTTATTTTTGTCTTCTGGGGAAGTTTATGGTAGAGTGAGATAAATATGCAAAATAGTCAAGGTTGTTTATCCTGCATCACTAAGAAGACATTCTTGACATCATTTGTATATAACTGAGCAGAGGAGCCGCTCAATCAGGGCTGACAGAAATCCAACCCAGATCACCCAGCCTCAGGGCATACAGACCTCACTTCAGCATGATAAAATCTGCTTCTGTCGGGATAAAACCCGAACTCACACAGATCCTCTTGTCACAAAACAAATTTTGGTGCATAAAGGCTCCTCCTCCAGTTACATTCCTTCCAGGGACTCAGTCATAATTTCAGGACACTTTACCTCAGCCTCACATATTTTTGTAGTATCTTGGTGCTTGTAAGGGGGAATGAATATTACAAAACAATCTGGTGCTATTCTTCTAAAATGTAAAGTGTAATGACTTTAATATTGGCCCCAAATCTGCAAGTCTTAGAGATCTGGAGAGCAGAGATCCTGGAAGCTGCCAGCAGGTAACTCAATCAACACAGTATCTTTCAATCAATACAGAAATTATTCTTTTTTGACTCTACAGTATAGTGTTGTCTGCCTGAAAGTCACCCCTCTGACAGTAGGAGGAGGGAGACATGCTGAATGTAAAGAGATTGGAAAGGCATTTCTCTGAAAAAACTGGAAGTACCAGACTTGCAGTTGACTAGGGAAGAAGCTAATAAGGGGTCTTGGCTGCGTTGAACAATGGTGCTGAAATCCACTTTGCCCTTTACCTACGTAGCAGGCTCCTGGGTTTGGTAGTATATATGCTGCTCTTTGCATGAGTATTGATTACAGAGGCTGTTCCATGTATAAAAAGGTTGATGTGCACTTTAAAAGCTGCTCTAATCCCATTCAGCAGGAACTAAGCTCATGAATGTGCATTTTCTTTCCTCTGATTCTTATTTCATGCACCCATTAGCAACAGCCACTCATTGCAGCTAAAGTATCTGTGATTTGCAGTGCAGGATGAGTTCTTTGCTGGTAGATATGCTAGTAGCAAACTGGCTGAGGAACTCAGTAAGTCTTATACTGGAGTCAAGGAAAGCTTAAGCATGACTCACTTAGGAATGCTTTGTCTTCCCCTAATTGCATAATTACCTTAGAGAGCTCGCTGGCCATTTGGCATAGAGGTCATGCCTGTTTCCTCTGAGCACAGGAATAACTCCTCCTAGCTTCTCCTAACAGGATAAAAAGGGGATGTGAGGAAGACATATGGCCATGGCCCCGCTTTTCCTCTATATAATCCAGGAGCAGTATTTGTGCACAACTACAAAGTCCTTCATTCTCTGAAATGAGGATGGGAAAGTTCACCATTATATAACATAAATCAGCACTTTCACCTTTGCATGGAGATAGTATCTGTATTGAAAGTGGTAGTGTGATATTCCAGTGTCTTTGGTACTGGTACTTGCAACATCTGTGTTCTAATAAGTGGAATTAAAAAAGAATAATGAGCGTCCCACAAGAACAGCAATCTTTCCCACTATACTCATATGCTATAGAGTTAGCCTGACTGCCAAGCAAAAAAACCAGAGATCTCCCCAACACCTTGTTCTTACAAGCAATAAATTAAAAAAAAAAAAAATGGCCAAAATAAATGCTATCAACAACTACAATCATGCTAAGCAGATGGCAAGCAAAGGAAAGGGACCTTAATATTACATGAGAAAAATGGAAAATGAATTTGCTAGTTACACTAGCAGAATTAAAGGGAAGTTTTGCTGGAGAATTCTCCTGGACCTCTAGGAAATTCAACAGTGCAGTTTTCAGGGCTCACCCCATGTATAGAACTGGTTAAGTAAGTCTGCAAGATGCAAAAAAAGGAGAAAGATATAATTGAACAATATGGATTGCTGAGGCAAAGATGTTTAAGTACTGCTATCTTTAGTCCCCTGGATGAACTCTTGTTCTGGAGAATGGCTGGAATTTGTGGTCCCTCTTCATAACCTTTTTATTGATGTTATCCAACATTACATTTGGAAGCTAGATTTCTCCTTTGCAGATTGGTGATGGCATCACTATGCAGTCAAACTTTCACCCAGGTTTCCCTTTCATTACTTCTATGAATTCTCTATCCTTCCTTGCGCACCGATGCACCTTCCATTCAAACTAACTAAAGCAAATTTTTTCCCGTTCCCCTTACAGCCCAGCAGCTAATACCCCCTAATTTATAATGGGGTATATACCCACTGGGCTTATGAATGAAAATACTTGCATCTGCTATACTTCATGCTGATCCTGATGCTGCCAGTGTGTTTTAGACATGCACACAGCCTGCCTGGTTGGCCCTTCAAGAGTTACAGAGGGATGTGAATACAAGTGGTCTGATGCATCTGCTGGTGTAAGCTTTGGTGTCCATGTGCTTCTTAGCTTTGTGCTGGGTTGCAAAGAGTGTTTAAGATTACTCATTTGTTTTGCAGCTCATGATGGTTACTTAAGTCTTTCCTTCTTTTTTATCAGTCTCTTTTTCAATGGTGGGAAGCAGTGCAGTTAAATGCCGAATAAGGCTGCATTAGGTTCCCCTTTCTGTGATAAACCCCTACTTAGTAGGTTCCCAAAGTGAAAGTTTTTGCAAGAGAAAACAGCTGGAGGACACATCCAAGCCTGGCTCTGGTGAGTGGAGCTGTTCTTCTGATATAAATGGTGCATTACTCTAAAGTAAGAGAAATGCTAGGAGGAGAGGAAGGAAAATGAAGTATCTTGATTCCTAAGTTGAGAGAGAACTTGTCAGCAGTTTATCAAATCAAAGGCTAATATCCAAGACTCATTCTGTTCTCACAGATATATATCTCAAGTATGGACTTCATTAGAGTACATCTAACTTAACCTAGCTGACTTCAGAGGAAAGTCAGGCTATGGGTCCCAACTGCTTTTGTTATCAAACAAAAAACAGGTGACACCTCTGTTCTTTTCATGATTTTTTGAATAATTTTCCTGGAGAGCTAAGGAGTTAGCATGCCATAGTGCTGGTAGCTGCCCCTGGGATCAAGGAACACCATAGAGAATCTATAATAAAACTTCTTGCATTAGGATGGCGGCAGAGGAAACTATACAGAAAATGCAGTCCAGGAAAGAGTTCTTAGAAGATGAAGTAGGGATTAAGCCAGAGCCTATTTTACCATTTGCTAAAACACTCAGTGCATTTGCCTTCATGGGTTCTGCATTCCAGAGGACTGCATGCTGTGTTAATAAAATCCGTCGCTTCAACAGGCTTTGGAAACTCACACGGCCATTGACTGCCCATATGGCAGAATTGGGCTGTTGCTATTAGACAGCTGCAGGGAGTTGAGGACAAGAAAGGGGAGACAGCACCAAAATCTTATGGATATATAGATGATATATAGACATAGGGCTTTTCCTCATGGCAGGAGCTTCCAAAACACGTTCCCCATCAAAATGCCAGGATCCTCTTTTGTTTTTTCTTTCAGGAACTGTAATTTGCACTTCTGCTTTTTGTAGGTGATACATATGTGATTTATGGATGTGATTTAAACCCTCATACACCCTGACCTTAAGCTGCAGGAACATTTTAAAACAATTAGCACACCTGCAAGAAAAACAGCAAATCACCACATTTCTGTTGCTCACAAACTTAAAGAGAGATTGAGTTTAGTGCTCTTTCTAGCGCAAGAAATTGCATGCTCCCCAGTAACCCAATGCCAAACCACTGCTCTCAGTTTTGAGTAGCAAATGCCATTCTTATTGCATCTAAAAACTCAGACTCTGTTTCTTTTCTTAATACGAAATTGCGTATTTTGGTACTGCTCTCAAACAAGTTTAACAGAACAAAGGAGTTATCTTTATGAGACAGCCAGGGAAACACACAAAGAACAGGAAAATGTAGCTAATCTAAATAATGACATTGAAAACAAAACAGCTATTGGGCTATAAATAAACAATATGAAGTAAATTTCATCATTTATATTAAGAGAAGACACAGACTTAATTCCTGGGTATAATGCCATCTGCTATTTCCTCAGGCTTTAGTTCTTATTTTTTCAGTCAAGCCACAAAGTAGCATTTCCTACTTTCTTCAACTTTTTACAGTATGAACTTTTATACCACTTTGGAGAAAATTGCAAAACTCAGACATGCATGGAGAGAAAGATCAGATTTTCTAAAACAATAATATTGCCCAGATTGCTAGTTTTTGAACTGCACAAATACAGGCATTCTTACAGGGCAGGGAGGTAAACATATACATGACTGCATTAATTAAGACAATACTTCGTTTCCTGCAACACAAAAGAATTTTCTTAATTTAGACTCAGTTTTTAATTATGCAGTCTCCCACTGTGTGCATGTGGGTGTGCAAAGCAGCAACTGCAATTTCACCAAAAAAAAAAAAAAAAAAAAAAAAAAAAAAGAAAAAAAGCAGAGACTGGTCCTGACCTGGTTGGTGAATGGAGAAGGAATTAAATAATCCTCTAAATCAAAGCCAGAATCAACTTTCTGAGCGCCAAGCTCAGCCAGTCCAGCCATCTCACTTTCAGTAACACAGTGCTAAACGACCTGAGCAGAAGCCTGATTCACGTGACTTTTTTTCCTGGGGATTGTCTTGTTGAGAGTATCCTGGGCAGGAAACTGGTGTGATCTGTTGACTCACAAGATTTAAAATAAGCACTCGCGTTTCCCCCCTCCCAACCCTGACCCGCAGCCCTGGCCTGAATCACTTCCCCGGCGGAGGCGAGAAATGTGCGCCAGCGAAGCGCTCGTGAAGTGGCCGAGTGGTCGGCAAATGCTCTCAGGCTGTCATACAGGCAGCAAACCTCACGTCCAACACTGGCACAACATCAGGACACGGCACCGGTCCCCGTCCCTCAGGCTTTACCTGCTGGCGGGTGAATGGCTGGGAGGGATATCCTGTAGAAAGCTCTGCTCCATGGCCGGTATCCTGGCCGGGCTGTGGGGATGGTAGGCTGTGAGGACTACGCTGCCCGAGTCCTTCATCTCCATGGTCATAGGCACATGTCGGCCCGGCTGCTGGTGACAGAAGCGACAGGGCTGTGCTGACGGGCCCCGACGGAAGGGCGAGCGAACCTGTCAGGACCACCAGCCTGACTCTGCAGCAGCCGCTCGCCACTGTCGGCTGTCAGGAGAGCTGTGTAACTGAGACACGGCTCCTCTCCCTGTCAGGAAAGCTGAATTAGCATATATTCAAAAACACCGCCCACAAAACAACCCACGGGGAAGTTACTACGTTCCTAGGAAATTGGAAACCTGAGATAATCCTGTACGGCACTGAGTGACTGCCCAGAAAACTTCTTGTTTGCGTTTTTTTCTTGTTTCCTTTTAACAGCAAATTTCTTAATACTCATCCTGCTTCTGAAACAGTCTTGTCTAAGTGAAACTATTTGTTGGTTATGCAGCCAGATGAGTGGAGAGCACTACTCAAACACAAAACATAGTTTGGTAGAGCAGGGAGTCTCAGAGGAGAGATTCAGAAACCAAGTGGGCTCTCTAGGTTTAAATCATCAAGGAGCAGAAGCTGTGATTTCCTATGTGCCGGATCATTTCTGTAGCAGGGAACCAAACTTGTTCTCTTTTGAAGCCAGATTAAGCGTTTTAGCTAGATTCTCCCTGATATGGCTGTGTACATTACTAGAAAGGCACTGGGAAATGAGTGAATTATTTTTATAATTGTCTGTGTTCATCTGGAACAATCCCGTAAATAAATACACACCGAGATGCTTGATATCTTTTCATGATTTACCTTGATCTTTGTACACTAATATGGTAGTTTTAATTCAAAAATAAATACTCGAGCAAAAATATTGGGGTCCAATTCTGGAGTAACACCCAGAGAAAACTCTGTAGACAAACTGAGAAAGTTCACACATCACTTTAGTTTCCTTTCCCACTTCTTCAGTGTTTGTTTTTTTTTTTCAAAGAAGTGTTTCTGATAAATGCCAATTCCTGAAAACTATTGTCCTGCCTATGAAATCATGGGAGGGATGTCCCTAATTTTACTCTATGGGCCACAGCTCTCTGAGCACCTTGTGAACACGTGTGAAACACCAGCCTCCATTCACCTTTGTCACAGCTGCCAGCAGCATCCCAAGCGTAGGTACTCTACAAAATGTTTGTTGGGCTCCTCTTTCACATCCCTCTTTTGTGAGGGTGCTCTCTCTAGTGCTGCTATACAGTTGCCTAAATTACACTGTCAGTCTCTCCAGCTGGTGAAGTAGCTCAGGTTTTAAAAATTATTCATCTCACCTTCACCTTCTCCCTGAACACGGTATCCTGCCTGGAGGGACATGATGGTTTCGGTCAAATATGTTGCTGCGACTCATGTAGGCAGTGCCCAAGTTAATTTTAAATTAGCCAGTATAGGACACTGATAACAGTACACTTGGCAGCACTTCTTGCCAGACTCACCCAGGAAGCATAAATATTTGAACATAAAGAGCCTCTAAGCCTGCTCTTGCTATGCTGTTAAGATATCCTGGATTAAATATTTTAAAGCCAGGTTGCCTAGGATAAAATCATGGTTGCTTCCATGGCAGCATGGAGGCCCTCTGGAAGCCTCCATGCAGCCATGTACATATGTTAGAAATGAAGGAGAAGGCTCTGAGCTACCTCTGGAGGCATCACTGCCCATGGCATCAAGACTATATACTATGGTGCTGCCAGTGAGGACTGGGATGAATGGAATAACCAGTGCTCTGTGATTACTGGGGTATTCAGGAAAGGCATAGGGCCTGAAAAACTAGGATCAAGGCCATGATGGATCTCATATCCCAACTCTGTGGAGCGCTGACTGAATGCCAGGCTGATGCGTGGCTTCTGGATCACCAGGGATGCTGCTGCCAGTACCATTCTTTTCCCTTCCTACTTTGGCTTTATATTCTCCTTCCCGCACCAGAAGGTGAGTAACCTTCTTATAAATAGAAATTTACATTTGGCACAACTGCAAATAGATATTTTGAAAATGGATCAGCCAAAATGCATATATAAAAATGAGAGAAAAAAAAATCTCTATATATGTTATAAAATATCTGCTGACACACTTTAAGGACATTGTTCGCAGTTTATTTCAAGGAATTAAACTCTCAAAGAAGCACACGTAGTGGAAGGCACCAAACACTATCAGAAAGGAAGTGGGTGTCCTTCAGATCAGATGCTGACAAAATATTGGCTGCAACTCCAGGAAACTCTTTTCTCCCCTTCCTAGCCTCATAACACTAGTCTTTCTCCAGTACCATCAGACAAAAAAATGATGGTTATGTACTTTAAGCTATGTGTAGATAAAACCCATAGTAGAAATGCAATATATTTTTAGTATTATTTTTATTTCCTCTCTTCGCATGATAAAATACCTCAAACACCAAAGTGACTTACAAAGAATACAGATACCATCTCAATAGAAAAATGCATATAAAGAAAGGAGGCCCACACTTGTTAAATGGGATTTTCTCTCTAAGAAAAATAAACATGGAAGATTTTATTTGGAGACTTATAAAGTGTTGGTGCACAAACTGGAGGCTTGTATGGAAATGGCAGACTATTTGGCACAAGTACAAATACATATTTTGAAAACTAATCAGCCAAAAGACATATATCAAACCTAGAGCTAAAAATATTTATGTGCTTAATGGCTCTTGGGATTAGGCATCTCCATATTATTGAAACCCAAAAATTATGCTAAATCAACCAGAGATACACATCAGCCATCAAACAAAGTTTTAACTGGGCTAGTGAAACAACCATAAGAAAAAGGTACAAGACAACATAGGCTGGATTCCTCCTTCAGTTCTATCTGTGCAATTCTGTTAGATAATAGAGAATTTATTCTCCTGGTTTATAAAGAAACAAGTAGGGAAATATTTTAATCCAACATGTTTGTGTTTCTACAAGATTTCCTTGAACACTAGATTGTGAAGTATTCAGGACTGTGACAGTTCTAACTGTCTTTTCGGATAGTTGAGAGCTTCCCAGACCTTTCAAGTACTATGGAAATGCCATTTCAGTGAGAAATAAAATATTGTGAGGGTGCTTGTGGTGGCAAGCAGTAAAGTGAAGGTGCAGCAAGAGAAGAGTCTGTAGGATGTCTGTGGCCACTAATCCCGCAAGCAGCTGCCTTGGGTTTGGTAGGCACGGGTTTTGTGCTTTCAAATTTTATGTTGTGCTTGTGACAAGGGGAGTGCTTTTCACTTTCACACATTTGGCAAAATAATTAATAAAAATAATTATATATGGATCAGTGGGCCCAAACTTTGAGAACTAAGAGTGAGAAACCTTTATTAACCAATTACTTCAGAAATTTAAGTTAGTGGCTATATAGTTGTATGATCAAACCTTCAACTACTCTGTCATAGCAGTATATCTGCATATATATCCATGAGAGCAATATACAAAAAGCATAAACACACAGAAAGTCACTAGTGAAAGCTTACTGAAATGAAAAAGTAGCTGTCATTGTTATTAATAACATTTATGTATTTACATAGAAATAATTAATAATAATTTGGACAGCATGATGATGGGCAACATTTAATATCTTTTGCTTGGAAAGGGATTTATAATGGTTTCACATGGATTTTAAGCACCTATTCTAGTTAGGTCTAAGGGGAGCTCTCACTGAGAGGAATGAGATTGTCAGCCAGGGGTTCCTGTCCTGGGATGGTGAGGGCATACACCATTATATTATAAGAGTAGACCCACAGAGCCCTGGAAAGTGCAAAATTCTCCTTTCAACTACAAATCACAAAAAAATATCTCTGGTTATTAAATTTCATTTCTTGCTTCCAGCTTAAATTATCCAGGACAAAGTTGGACAAAATTAGCAAAACTTTGAAATTGATTTTGGACCAGTGTATTGTGAACTTGGGTTAGATTAAGTTTTATAAGGAAGCTGTTTAAAACACAGCATTTTTCCCTGATGAAATCAAAGGAAATAGAATGGAGCAATACACAGAAAAATGTCATCCTAGTACTGTGTGGCAGTAAATCTGTACTGTGTCTAAATGTCCTTACCGCTCTTGCAATAACTTTTGTATCTGTCTGTGTGAAAGAAACCAAATCCAGAACCACTGTACTTTTCCATTATTTTTTTGGGGGGAGGGGTATCCCTTACTTCTCTCTAATTTTTCATTTGGATGGAGAGATGCTCTAAGGATGGGGACCAGAGAGCCCCACCATACCACAGAGTTGATGTAGGCTAAAAGCACCTGGACAGCCTGAAAACATGAGTGCCACAGCATTGCATAAAAGTCAAGGTCAGTGCTGTTTACATCTTCTACTGCTCAGTACCAATTCCCATGAAAAAAGTGTCTGGGAAGGGGCTGACTCTTGTGTCAGGAGAATTTTTACTGTGGCTTGAGGTCTATTTCCTTTCAGATCATTTTATGCATCAGGAAGGATAGTGTCTAATGCTTGGGTTTGCTTCTGAACATATATTCCTGTGATGCCAGAAGAATTACAGTCTATTTTTTTTCCGCTATAGAAATGAGGTGTTTGTGTGCCTCAGTGTGGGCAGCTGGGAATGTGAGGGAATGGGTGAGATTCATCAGTAGTACCAAAACATATCCACTGCCTTTATAACACTGAAAAAATAATGAGCCAAAACATAAACAAAATTGGAGGGAAAATCTTTGTTATTCTGCTTTGTCTTTTCAAACTCAGAATAAAAATGACACTGAGAAAACTGTTTCTTATCCTTTACAAACAGGTTAGTTAACAAGCCTGTTTAAGCAAAGAGAATAGAAATCAGGTATTGTGGTACTTTGTGGTTTTGCAAAGGTTTTTAATTAAAGTACGAAACAAAACATTCATCTTTGTTAAATATAGCCTCACATTTTTCAGTCCCAGGCTCAATTTAAATATACATCACATTTTGGTGAACTTTAACATGGTGATTTTTTTATTGAGTGATTTACTACTGATTCTTTTATCCTAAAAAAGATACAAAAGCATGGAAAAAGAATTCTTTGGGCAACTTTGTGTAGCTTCTTGCTTAGCAATGACTGTCATTTACTTTCTAGGAGTTCAAAAGTTGGTTCTTCTTAGCCCAGATGAAACTACCCATATATTATTCC